CCTGGAGCCACCATCTTGGGCGAGACCAAGAGGGGGAAGGATCAGAGCAGCCACAGAAACCTGACAGAACTGTGGAGATAAAGGTCTGGACATTTTTTTGTGTGTGTCTGTTCATTGCTCTCTCGCTGACTATGCACCTCCATTCTGGGGACTAGAGGAGGTGCCAGAGTGAGTGGACACCCCACCCTCACCCCCACCCCTAGATAGTTCTACTATGCATGTGCACAGATATCCTTGAAATTTAAAATGATAGTTTCCACTTAAAACCAAAACAGACAGGCAGACTAAAAAGGAAATAGGCTGAAAATTAAATCCTGAGTTACATCACTATGTTTGATAGTGGCATCTTGAAATTTCTCAGGAAGAAAAGTGAAGTCCATATCCTGATTACATCTACCTGTGGGCAATCTGAAAGCATAAAAAATACCAAAATACACAACCATCTAAGTATTAAGGCCACAGATAACTCTTGAATATGTCCCCAAACCAGAAAGTTCCATTCCATGCAGGGAAGCTCTGAGATGCCCTCGGTCTCAGCAGTCTCAGTGGCAAGCTGTTCAGCTTGCTGAAGGAGCTCACCAAACCCCTCAGTATCCATTGGAGAGATAGATCCTAGTTGGTGCTGCAGCCGTCTCCACCACTTAGGTCCGGACTCTGATTATGCAAAGGCTTTTGATTATGTGGATCATGACAAGCTATGGACAACATTGCGAAGTATGAGTATTCAAGAACACTTAATTGTGCTCATGGGGAATCTGTACCTGGATCAAGAGGCAGTTATTTGAACAGAACATGGGAACACTGAATGGTTTAAAATTAAGAAAGTGTGCAACAAGGTTGTGTTCTTTCACCATATTTATTCAACCTGTATGCTGAGCAAATAATCCAAGACGCTGGGTTATGTGAAGAAAAACATGGCATCAGAATTGAAGGAAGACTCATTAACAATCAGCGATATGCAGATGATACAAGCTTGCTTGCTGAAAGTGAAGAGGACTGAAAACATTTACTGAGGAAGATCAAAGAGCACAGCCTTTGGTACTTCAGTATGGATTACATCTCAATGTAAAGAAAACACAAATCCTTACCACTGGACCAATAAACAACATTCTCATCAATAGAGAAAAGATTGAAGTTGTCAAGGACTTCATTCTTCTTGGATCAACTATCAAGATTTGCGGAAGCAGCAGTCAAGAGATCAGATGACGTATTGCATTAGGCAGACTTTTTTAAAGTGTTGAAGAGCAAAGATGTCAGCTTGAAGACTAAGGTGCGCCTGACCTAAAGCATGGTATTTTCAATAACCTCATATGCATGCGAAAGCTGGACAGTAAATAAGGAAGACCATAGAAGAATTGATGCTTTTGAGTTATGGTGTTGGCGGAGAATATTGAAAGTGCCATGAGCTGCCCAAAGAACCAAGAGATCCATGCTGGAAGAAGTGCAGCCTGAGTGCTCCTTGGAGGCTAGGATGGCCAGGCTTTGTCTCTCATACTTTGGACATGTTGTCAGAAGGGCCCTTTCACTGGAGAAGGATATCATGTTTGGTAGGGTCAGAGAAAAAGAGGAGAACCCCCAATGAGATAGATTGGCCAAGTGGCAGCATCAATGGACTCAAGAGTGGCAACAGTAGTGAGGTTGGCCCAGGATCAGACATTGCTTCATTCTGCTGTGCATTAGGTAACTATGAGTCAGTACCTACTCGATGGCACCTAACAACTACAACAACAATGGCTTCATAATCAGAACTCGACTAGAGCAAGATTATACACAAAAAAAGTTTTTTGATAAAGAAACAAAGGTAAATTGCTACAATTTGATGAACCTGTCCTATACTCATGGATGTAGTAACTCTAAATACCAAAGAGAGGGAAGGCGTCTTCACATCAAGTATCAATGCTATCCCCTCTGTACACAGGGTAGATAGGGGTGGACAACTTGGACATTGGTTACCCAAAATGAGGGAGTGATAAAGGCACGAAGTGACTGGCTTACAAGGTTTCAAGAGAGAGTTTCGTTTAAGAGTATGGGGTTGTGGGGAAGAAAGAGTTCCCACTGAACAGTTTTCATTTTGTCTAGATGGGTCTGGTGAAAAAGAGATGGGAATAAGATTCATATGATTCAATAATGAATAATTGTTATCATGACTAATTGCGACTGTCACAATTGTAAAGGTAAAAGTTTTGTAACAAAAACAGGGGAGTGGTTAATCTTACTATCCAGAAACAGAGATCCCTAGGACCATCAAGTGAGAAGAGCACAACAGAATGTGGGACCTTATCCAGAGAAGCAGTGTGCCAGAGATAGAGGCACAGATGGGGTCATGGAGAGGGGACTGAGGACTCCAGATTCATGGGAAGAGAGGGACTAAGAGCTGGTGGCCAGGAGGCAGACTTGCAGAATGTGCCCCTTAGAGGTGTAAATTATTATATATGCCTGGTTGATTTTTTCTTTTTTTCTTTAAACTAAAATGAATAGAGAGAAATACTGTTAACTGATGGTATATGGAGGGGATTATAATCATTGTAATGAAACAAGGTGTATGATTTGTTGAATGTAAAACTGATGATCTGCCCTGTAAACTTTCACTCAATCCACAATAAAAACCTTAAAAAAAAAAGAAGACTTTGTCATAGAATGTCTGTAAGCCCACCCTCAGCCTATAACAGATTGGAATACCTAAAAGGGGTGCTAGAACTTGCCCAATGAAAGAGGCTTCTTGCAAAACCTTTGTAAGGTATGAGACATTAGGTGGAATTCTGATCCCCATCTAGAACACTCTGGGATGGGAAATTCCCACTTGGAAAGACTAGCAGAACAGCTTGGAGCAGCTAGAGGAATAGAAGATACTTCTTGAAAGAAAGACCAACAGGAATAGTGATGCATGCTCAACCTTGGAACAACAGGGTTCTGTGGTACAGGAATCGAGGCATAGTCTGAAGAGGGGTAATAATACTAAGATGTTTGACTGTCTTATGAATCTTGGTTTCCCTTGCCTACTATTATAAAATAGACACTTGAGTGGCATAGTAAGGAATGTCGGGAAACATGATGACAGAAAGCTTGCAAGCCTGTCTTCAGCCTATAACTGATTAGACTACCTAAAAGGAGTTCTATCATTTACCCAGTGAAATAGCCTTTTCAGAACCTTCTGAGGTGGGGCATTCCACTTGAAAGGACAAGCAGACAAGCCTGGAACAGCTAGAGCAACAGAAGATACATCTTCAAAGAAAAATCAGCAGGAAAAACCCAGAACAAAAATGGCCGTATGATTGGCTACTACAAGAATAAACAAGCTGTTCTCTGGGAAGCCATCAAGGCAAGCAATCAAGTTCCTTCAGGATAAACCCCCTTCTAAGACTGAAACTCAAAGGGAACCCATGAGCAGGCATGTAAGCTTGTTGACGACCACATTGGTCTACTGGTGAGTGGAAGACCGGGGAAAGGCAACAATGAAGAAATGGACTGAGTTCATCCACATTGACTTAGAGATGAGAAAGAGAAGAGGAAGGGCTGGTTAATTCAAAGTGTGGTGAGACTTTGGGATGCCTGAGCCCATGGACAAGGACATAGCTACAGAGGTCTAGAGCTGAGAGTAATGCACCCAGCTGATATGAAGTGAGGGGAGATGGACAAGAACAAGCAAACTTGCAGATAGTACCCATTTGACCTAGCCTCAATGGCTTGATAATCACAACTTGACTAGAGGAAGATAAACAATTTTGATAAAGGAAATGAGGGTAAATTGTTACAATTTGATTAAATTGACCTATACTCATGGATGTAGTAGCTCAAAATACCAACAGAGAGGGAAGGCGTCTTCACATCAAGAATCAATGCTCTCCCTTCTGTATACAAGGTAGATAGGGATGGGCAACTTAGACATTGGCTACCTAAAATAAGAGGGCAATACAGACATGAAGTGACTGGCTTATAAATTTTCAAGAGGAATTATAGTTTAAAAGTGTGCCAGGGAAAACAGTCCTCACTGAATATTTTTCATCTCATCTAGGTGGGTCTGGTGAAAAGAGATGGGGATAAGATTCTTATGATCCAATAGTGAGTAGTTGTTATCATCACTAATTGTGACTGTCACAATTGTAAACGTAGACGTTGTTTAACAAAACCGGTGGAGTAATCTTACCGTCCAGAAACAGAGGACTCTAGGACCATAACAGGAGAACACAAGTGGAATGCAAGACCTTATCCAGAGAAGCAGGGACACCAGAGAAGGAGGCAGAGATGGGGACTTAGAGAGAGGGAGCAGTTGAGGGCTCTAAATTCATGGATTTAGTGGGAGCCCTGGTGTGGCGCTGTGGAAATGCAAAGTCTTTTGAACTGCAAGGTCGGTAGTTCAACCTCACCAGCTGCTCCTTGGAAATCCTACACATGGGCGCTATGGGTTGGAATCGACTTGATGGCACTTAACAACAACAAAAACAAGCTGGTGGCCAGGAGGCCGACTTGCAGAATGTGCCCTTTGGTGGTTTAAATTATTGTACATGCCTGAGTGTTTGTTTTTTTTTTTTTAAAAGAGCTAAAGTAAATAGAAATACTGTTAACTGATGGTACATGGAGATTATACTCATTGTAATGAAACAAAGTATTTGATCTGTTGAATGTAAAATTGATGATCTGCCCTGTCAACTTTCACTCAATTCACAATAAAAACTTAAAAAAAAAAAAAAACTTTATCAGAAGATAGTTTTGCTATAAGCCATGGGTCGCAAAATGGAATCTGGCCACGAAAACGCTCTTCGTGGCCCTCTTGCAGCGAGGCCCTCAAGCCAAGAGAGAGTCCCCAAACAGCTGCTCACGTTGGAGGGTGGGTCAGCGCTTCTGACCTCCAACACTCTCCCGCCCCTCCGCGAAGCGCCACAGCTTCTGCGCAGGCGCTGGCCCTGCCTTCTCTCTCGGCTGACCCCACCCCTTCTCCGCTGCTGGAGTCGTGAAAAGATCCTGCTCGGTTCGCTCCGTCTTTTCTGCAGCCTCGTGTGATCATGGAGGGTGAGAGCACGTCGGCGGTGCTCTCCGGTTTTGTGCTCGGCTCTTTGGCCTTCCAGCACCTCAACACCAACTCGGACACGGTGAGCCGAGGGTGCGACTCGGAATGTCGCGTAGCCTCTGAAGAGGCCTTGCGTACGGCCTCCTTCGCGCTGTCCGCGATCAGAGGCTCCCCGCCCTCGTTGCCCGCTCCCTGCCCGCCCGCCCGCCTGCCTGCTCCTCCAGCGCCGGCTCTCTCTCCGCCTCCTCTCCTTGAGGGTTTTTGCTGCGCCGCCTGCTTCTCAAGTCTTTTCCAGGCTTAGCCCTAACTCCTTTAACCTTTTGTTTCTTTCTCTTCCCCTGCTAGTGTCCGTCCACACGCTCACATTTCGCTCCCTTTTTTTGAGTTAACTTGAACATGAAAGGAAAGAAAGTTCACTTAACGACCTACGCCACCGCTGGAGAGTCGCCGGCTGACTTTACATTTCTCATACTACCGACCGTGTCATTTTCAAAGACAAATGTACATTTTTCATGCAGAGCAGCTTCTGCCTTTTTTGGGGGGGATCGTGGGGTGGTGGTGGTGTATGTTAGGATGGTGGGGAAAGAATAGATACTGAACTTGGAGAATATTTGGGTTATATTATTGAAAGTTAACAACTGATGGTAGAGCTTAATTTAGTATGGTGGGTCAGACTATAGGATCAGCATTGGACTGTGAACCACAAGGTCGGTTGTTAAAACCCCACCAGCTGCTCCTTGGTAACCGAATCACTGTGAGTCAGAATTGACTCGAAAGCACTTAATTAACAACTTGGTATCAAATTTATTTAAATTCTAAGGATTCAGCTAGTTCTTTTTCAGTGCTTCCTATAATCACTGTTTATCCTCAAATACTAAATACTTAAAGTTTTTCTAGGTTCAAAATATATGAATGGAGTCTATTGAAATAGTTTTTGTTGTACATTGCCTATTTTCTGAAACTTATGACATTGAAAAAAAACAAAAACAACCAAACCTGTAAGCACTGTTTAGAAAACACCATACTGAATAAAGTTTAGTAAATTAATGCTACATTTTGTACCCGTTTTACAGGATCTGGCTTGTCAAAGAATGTTTTTTTGGCACTATTCTAACAAAGGTCTAAAGTGACATTATTATGCAATTTTAAATAGCTTGCAGACTGTAACATCTATCAAAAGGCTAAATATGATACTTTTTTATTATGTGTGTAGAGTTATAAAGAACCATGAAGGCACAGTGGTTAAAAGGTTGGTATTGACCAGAAGGGTAGGCCATATACTATGGAGCAGTTCTACCCTGTCTTATAGGACCATTGAGTTATAATCAACTCCAGGGCAATAGGGTAACGGATGTAGCTGTGGAAATTATTTTGGAATGTCCTTATAATAGATAAACCAGGGTAAGTAAAAAAGTATTGCTATTAGGGTTGCAGATTATATGTTAAGTGCCATTGAGTCACTTCTGACTCATGCACAACAGAACAAAACACTGCCACATCCTGTACTAGCCTCACAGTTTGAGCCAATTGTTGCTGTCACTGTGTCAGTCCCATCTCACTGAGGATCTTCCACACCCCCACACCCCCCACCCAACCACCCTCCACTTTTTCAAGCATGATGTGCTTCCCCATAGACTGGTCCCTCCCAACAGTGTGTCCAAAATGCAGAGACAAAATCTTGCCATCTTTGCTTGTAAGGAGTATTCTGGCTGCAATTCTTCCAACAGATTGGTTTGTCCTTCTGCCGGTCCATGGTATTTTCATCACCATAATTCAAATGCATCAATTCTTATATAGTCTTGATGTATTCATTGCCCAACTTTCACATGCATTATCAGGCGATTGAGGATACTATGGCTGGGTCAGATCCACCTTGCACTTCAAAGTGACCTCTTTAAAAAAATCTTTTGCAGCAGATTTGCCTAACAGCAATATATCCTTTGATTTCTTAATTGCTGCTTCCATGAGCATTGATTGTGGATCCAAGCAAAGTGAAGTCTTTGAGAACTTCAGTCTTCTTTCAATTCTCTCCTTTTATCATGATGTTACTTATTTGTCCAGTTGAAAGGATTTTTGTTTTTTTTACAATGAGGTGCAATTCATACTGAAGTATGTAGTCTTTGAACTTCATCAGTAAGTATGCTAAGCACTCTTGGCTTTCAGCAGGCAAGGTTGTGTCATCTGCATATCGCACGTTGTTAGTCTTATGCCATGTTTTTCATATAAATTTCAGTTTCTTGGATTATTTATCAGCACACAGACTGAATAACTATGATGAAAGGATACAACCCTGGTGCACACCTTTCCTGATTTAAAGCCATTCATTATCACTTTGTTCTTTTGGAATGATTGCCTCTTGGTCTATGTACAGGTTCCCAATGAGCACAAGTAAGTAAGTGTTCTGGAATCCCCCCTTTTCACAATGTTCTCCATAGTTTGTTATGACCCATATTGTCAAAGCCTTTGCATAGTTAATAAAGCACAAGTAAACATCTTTCTCAGAAAGTACTTTCTGCTTTCACCAAGATCCATCTGAGGTCATGTCTTCTGAGTCCATCTTGAATTTCTGGCAGCTTCCTGTCGATGTACTGCTGCAACTGTTTTTTTGAATTATCTTCAGCCGAATTGTATTTGCATGTGATACTAATAATGTTTGATGATTTCCGCATTCGATTGGTCACCTTTCTTTGGAATGGGCACAAATGTGGATCTTTTCCAGTCTGTTGGCCAGGTAGCTGTGTTCCAAATTTCTTGGCATAGATGATTTGTATTCCATCAGTTTGTATTTCACTAACTCATGGACACTTGTTTTTCATCAGTGCCTTCATTGCAGCTTGGACTTCTTCCTTCTGTGCCATTCATTATTGATCATATTGTACTTCTTGAAATGTTTGAACATCAATCATTTCTTTTTAGCACAGTGACTTTATCCCTTCCATCCTGTTTGTTTTTTAAAATATTTTATTGTGAATTATGTGATAGTTTACATAGGAAAACATTAGCTTTACATTCGTCCTATTGTATATCGTTTCATTGCCATGGTTACAGTCCCCTCCATGCATCATCAACCAACCAAATGGTATACCCTGAAAGCCTGCACCCCGGTCATCAGCACACAGCCCCTCTCCCTGTCTGGCTCTAAAGTCCCCAGCCACTCCATCTCGCCACATCCTCTTCTCTGCCTCCCTCTCAGGCATCGCTGCTTCTCTGGGTAGGGTCTTGCCCTCAGCTCTTCTCCCTTGATGGTCCCAGGGACCTCTATTCCTGTACTGCAAAGTCAATCACTCCCTTCCTTTTGCTACAAAACATCTACCTTTCCATTTCCAATCATCGTAGTCAGTCCTGATAACAATTATTCATTATTGTACCACAAGGGACCTTTCCCCATCTCCTTTCATTAGCCCCTTCTAGACAGATTGGATACTACTCAGTGGAGAGTATACCTTCCTCTGTATCATCTGGATCTAGGCTCCCTCTTGAAAGCTTGTAAGCCAGTCACTTCTTGCCTTTGTAGCCCCCCCCCCCATTTTGGATAGCAAATGTCCAAGTTGCCCATCCCTGTCTACTTTGTGTATGGAGGGGGTGGGAATGATCCTCGCTGTAAAGATTTGTTCCCTCTTTTGAGCTACTGCATCCTTCTGTGTAGGTCAAGCTCATCAAATTGTATCCGATTACTCTTTTTTTCCTCTTCTAGTTGAACTCTGATCATCCAGTCATTGAAGCCAGGTCAAGTGGGCATTATCTGCAAGTGTGGGTGTTCTTGTGCATATGCCCTCTCTTCTTATCAGCTGGATGCTTCACTCTCCACTCTAGTCCTCTGTGGCTATGTCACTGACTCTGAGCTGAAGAGTCCCCAGGTCTTGCCACGCTGCTGGCCTACCAGGTCTCTACTAGTGTTCACATTTGTCTATTGATCGTTGTAGGGCTTTGTTTGCAGCTTCATTGCTGTTTTACCCTCACTCCCCTTATGGGTGATGAACGTGGTAACCAATCAGAGCGTGCATGCCCATTGAGTCTTTGGCTTGGAAGGGGGTTTGCCTTGATGTCTCCTGGGCTAGCAGCTTGCTTGTTCTTTTAGTAATCAGTTGGACTGCCTATATTGTTTTGTATTTTTCCTGCTGGTCTTTCTATCAAGAAGTATCTTTTGTTCTTCTAGCCACTCCAGGCTGGTCTGCTTGTCCTTTCAATTGGAAATGTCCCACCTCAGAAGATTCTGGGTATGGTTCAGGATTCCACCTGAACCTCCATAGGAAGCCTCCTTCACTGGGCATGTTGTAGCCCCATTTTAGGTATTCTTTCATCTTGTTCTTGATGCTTTCTGTGTCATTCAATATTTTGCCCATAGAATCCTTCAAGTCAAGATTTTAATTTTTCCTTTCATTCTTTCAGCTTAACAAATGCTGAGCATGTTTTTCCCATTTGGTTTTCTAACTCCAGTTATTTGCCTATATCATAATTGTTTTCTTGAGCTGAGCTTTGACATTTTCTGTGTAGCCCTTTTACTTATTTCTTCCAGCCATTTTAGCTTCTCTACATTATAGAACGAGTTTCAGAATCTTTTCTGATACTCGTTTTGGTCTTTTCTGTCTTTTTAATAATCTTTTCCTTTCTTCATGTATGATGTTTTTGATGTCATCCACAACTCTTTGGGTCTTCTGTCATTAGTGCCTAATGCATCAATTCTGTTCTTGACGTCTTTTCTAAATTCAGGTGGGATATACTCAAGGTCCTGGTGTGGTGCTGTAGAATAAGCACTGGACTGCTAACCACAAGACAGCAGTTCAACCCCACCAACTGCTCCTCAGAAACCCTACACAGGGTTGCTATGAGTCGGAACCAACTCATAGTGTCATCGGAATGGCTCTTAACAACAACATACTCAAGATTGGGGAGCACAGTGACTCTGAAGGATAAGCACTGGACAGTAACCACAAGGTCAGCGGCTGGAACTCACCAGCTGTTCCACAGGAGAAAGATGAGACTTTCTGTGCCAAGAAAGATGTAATTGTCTTAGTTTCATCAGGGTGCCTTCAAAGAAAAGATCCAATCAAAACAATGACTTCTGAGGAGATCTGATGGACTTGTTAAATTCAAAGTAAAATGGTCATCACAGAAGATTATGATGGCTGTAAAGGACACAGGACTATCTTAGGAACAAGTTTTAAGAAAACTGAAAATAGCATTTATGAGAAAAGGGGCAGGATTTCTTTTTTTAAATCACATTAGTGCACTTGCTGATTGTTCGAGGGGAGCAAAGCCTATCCTATAAGAATTTCTCAGGGAAACCTCATCCTATATACCCTATAGCTCTGGTCTTGCCCCTTCAGACCTGCTTTTTTCTCAAAACTCTTAAGAACATTGAAAAGGATGCCCAAACTACTGTTGTTGTTGTTGTTTTCTTAAATGTTTTATTGTGAATTATGTGATAGTTTACAAGGGAGAACATTAGTTTTACATTCATTCTATTGTATATCGTCTCAATGCCATGGTTACAATCCCCTCCATGCAATCCTTCCCCCATGCCCCCCAGATCTTCAGCACACACTCGCTCTCCCTCTCTGGATCTAAAGTCTCCCAGCTGCTCCATCACTCCACGTCATCATCTCTGGCTCCATTTCAGGCATCATTGCTTCTCTGGATAGGATCCTGCTCTCTGCTCTTCTCCCTTGATGGTCCTAGGGACCTCCGCTCCTAGACTGAAAGTTAATCACTCCTCTCCTTGCTATAAAACATCTACCTTTACATTTCCGACCCTCACAATCAGTCCTGATAATAATTATTCACTATTGTATCACAAGAGACCTGTCTGCATTTCATTGCATCAGCCTTGCCTAGGCAGATTGAATACTACTCACTGGAGATTCTACCTTCCTCCAGGCCCTCTGGATCTAGGTTCCCTCTTGAAAACTTGTAAGCCAGTCACTTCTTGCCTTTGT